TAATAAGTTTAGGGTTTAGGGTTCTTCTTCCGATCTCAACCGCTGAGGCAAAGTCATTACACATCTCATGACAAGCCCAAGGCGTTGCAGCATGGCACAGACTGAAGTGGCGCTTGCCTTTTCGACCTGGCCGTGTCTAATATAGGGGCCTGAATGATTAGAATACGGTTTGGAGGCCCATATACTCTAGTTATAATAAGGAAACCCCCAAAATAGTAATGGTAGTTATTTGGGTCCTTATAATACGCCCCTACAAGAGTGGAAGCGACGAGCTCTCAGAACTCTCTTTGGGTTTAGATGGTTTAGATCTTATGTCGGTCTACGAATGATGCTCTGACGTCCAGTTGTGCTCGGGCCTTTCGACAAACGTTTCGAAGGCGTCGTAGCTGCTTGAATTACACATGGTCGGCCTGCCCTCGTCCTTCATTGATGGCTGACAGCCCGCTGGATCCAAAGCTCTCAGCGACATCGCTGCAGTCTGACCCGTGCCTTCCGAAGAAAACCGCACCGGCTGACTCCATTTGATCTGCACCTGTGAGCCTGGCGGGTGTCGGGACCTGTGGGAACTCCTGTACCACCTCACAACTTTGCGACAGGATGACAAGTTTCGGACTCTGCAACACACGTGACGGCTTGCATGCCTGTTGCATCATGAGGCCTATGAGACATCCCAGGCCGAACCACAGCGGAGCTTTACTTGCGCTGTACACTGGCTTGCCACGACTACTCTAGAAGGCTCTGCCGAGATCTCACATTGCAGCTGCCTTCAATCACAGTCTCGGGAAATGTCTCCACCAGCTTGGGCGGTGCCTGGGAGCTCTGTGGTCAATGCTCGGGCTCTCAACTGCGCACAGGCATCAGAAGTTTCGTGTCTTCAACACCTGAAGGAGGAATCGTGGTTGAGGATCTGCTTTGCAACCCTCCATCAGCTGACCAGGTACTTTAAGATCCACCCCTCAAAGCAATATTCTCTGAGTCACCAGCACAAGTCCTGGTGAATGCTCGCCCTGTTCCTGCCAGGCTCTTGACCTGCCAGGGCCGAAGAATCAGAGTCTGAAACGAGGTTCGCGCTTGAGGATGCGAGGGCTAGGGTTTAGGGTGTTGGTTTAGGGTCCAGGGTTCAGGGTTTTAAGGTTTGGGGTTTAGGGTTTCATAAGGTTTTATGGTATTCACTTCTTATGGACCCTCAAGCCCAGACCCGCATATATTCCAATGTGAACTACACCATGTTATACGACTGCGCTATACTGTAAAGTCCTGTACAAAACACTGTACTATAGTATGAACCGAACTCTGGCCCTCACCTCGCTGGCATTGCGAAAGGCCATTCCTTTTGGATACTCGGCCTGGACAGAGCAGAGAGCTAAGCAGGGCTTGCGACGACAGGCGTATGGTTTGAGGGCCAAGAAGTCAGAGATGTCAGAGCAGTGTCTGTGTTTTTGTCTACTATACCCCTTCTAGCAAACATAGACGAACTCTGTGGGGGCGTGAATTCAATGCTGTATGTGGCCCCTGCACTGTTCAAGCGCATCGTGTCACTCTCGAAAGCGAGCAGGTTTGTGGAGCCTCTGAGGACCAGGCGCTTTTGAACCAGACCATAAACTTCCGAATACCACTGATGCCCTTACAGATAGAGCTTGAGAAACTTATCCTGAACTGCCAACTAGAGGGCAGGATAGCAGTACCCCGAAATATCGCCTGCTCAGGTTTGCCATGAAAACAGCATGCTCGCCTTCACTCGAGCGCCACAGGGCAAGCGTGACCTGATCCGCGGGGGAATCAATGACTTATGTATACGCGAGCCCAAGATAAAGACGTGATGCGCAAAAGGCAGGCTATGTAGAATGTAGAAATTCATGTACACATAGATGTATATTAATGACATGCGTGCTTGTTGGTGCGCACTTCAGTCCTGCATAACCTGTGAACTCTAAGCTCTTAACACCAATCTTCCAGCCAGGAACACCAACAGCACACACACACACACATGCACGCACACACATGCATGCATGCATGCATGCGTGCATGCATGAATACATACTCACATGTATACATTACACCCACACATACACACATGCAAATACATATATGTATATGTATATCATGTGCGCATACAGATGGAAAGCTCTGTAGGCCCTGAGCCCTGAGCCTGGGCATCCTACGTTACCTCTACTGCCGAAAGTTGATTAAAAGCAAGTCGTGGTTCTTATACTGCCAAGACGACCACAGGGGTTGCGACCTGACATCTTCGGAAAGGCCCCCGCATCCCTTACACCCAAACTGCCGAAGCACTATATAAAACCAGTCTTCTCGAGCCAAGCCAGGCGCCCGGTGCACTTGAACTTGTCGCAGAGATCAACCTGCTATGCTTCGAGGAAGCCCAAAGTGTGCAAGGAGCGGAGGACGGAAGAGTGCCAGATGTCTTGGAATGTGAGGTTTCGGTTAGGGTTTCCGTTTTAGGTTCGGTCTGTAGTGGAAGAGTCCGACATTGCCGGGCGTGACACATACCAACGGAAACTGAACTCTAAGAAACTATGGTTCTCAAAAACAAACAAGTCCTTGAGATCGGAACCGGGTTTTAAGCATGTCAAGCAAACAAGCCAGGGCGCAGACACGATGCTGTGTAGGGGTAAAATTTAACATATATCTTCAACGGATAACTTCGGTTTCTCGAGTTGAAGAGTGGATTGGTCTTTGCATGTCCGGGCTTTGGGATTTGAGTCCGCGGATGAGGAGCTTGGACTTGCCAGGATTGAGGTTGCGCATTGACGTCTGAATGTATAACATGACCGGGTTTCGGGCAGGATGCGATTCAAGACGGACTTCTTCTTGTCACATGCCCCCGTAAATCGACTCGAGCAGCGAAGTCGGATATTATATCGAAGTCGTCAGTCCAAAACTCCCCCACACCAAATCGAAAAAGAGGCCTAAACTCCCAAGACTATATTAGCACCTTAGAATCAAGCCTAAGCCCCCAAGCTCCACCAGCTTCAGCTTGGCCCACTCAGGCCTCATAAATGCGTCCGTCGTGGCAGCTCACCCTTGGCAAACATCCCCACCCAACGAGTGTCTCTCTCTCTCTCTCTCTCCCTCTCTGGCAGCAAAGAGGTCATGTATAGGGCTGCACCGCTTGCGCCATTTTAGGTACCAGTATTTTGCTACTGAACCCTTTTGCAACTGGCTTGCAACTTCACGCCAGGACAGCTGTCCCTCTCCACGCTGCACTCCGCTACTGAACCCTAAATCCTAAACTTCAGCTCCGATTGGCTTGTCGCAGAGCATTTCGTACGCTCCTCCAGGCCTGGGATCCGAACGAGTTTGGCGCTGGTGCCCGTGTGTAGACCTTGCAGGGTTTAAGTTTAGGGTGTAGGGATGTGTTGTCTAGGCATTTTTGGGCTGCACCCCATAAGTCTGATTCCTGTAGGAATGCTAGCATTGGACGTGAGTTGGGGTATAATGTAGCGTGAGTGTGACTGAAAGGGATAAATCAGCTTTTGGTATGCACTCAGGAGGCCCTGTATATTGATCAGCAACAACACTTGGTTTTGGCCTGGCATCTATTAGATCATTAGGCTTCTCAGTACCCTTAGCTGAATGTCGCACTGCCCTACAATGCCCCATCTACGTGTGATAAGCTCGATGCTGACGCCACTCATGATTTTGACTGGGCTGATATTGCGCTTTCGGATGTTATGATCTTGCGATCAGTTACGTGCTTTTTCGCGGCTTCGCTGGTTGAACCAGCGAAGCCGCGAAAAGGCACATAACTGATCGCAAGGGGGTAAAACTCACGTACTGAAAGAGGTTAGGGTTGGAAAAGATTTCGTGTCTTCTGTGGTTTCACGAAAGCTTCATGGCTCGGAATGGCTCGGACATGAAGTTCTAGCATCGGACGCCAGTTCTGCCCAGGGTAGGTGTGACGTTGCAGGGCAAAAGGTGGCTGGGCGTTGGGGTTGTGTGTCAGCCGAAGCGGTCGCAGCCTCCTGCATTGAGCGAAGCTTGGTAGTTGTGACATCACGAACGTCGGCTCTTTATCTGGGTGGTCCACCGCCACCGCCGCTCCAACAGTAAGGTCAGTTGGCTTCCCATCACGATTATGTCCACGGTTTGGTTTTCCGATAATGTGAGGAGAATGAAAGCACTTGTCAGCAGCAGTTGTGACTGGACAGCCCAAGTGCCAGGCGCAGCGCTCCTCTTGCAAGAAGCTGAGACCTGCGCGCTGACAGCATGTTGAAGGCTGAAAGCTCCATGTACTACCTAGTACAAGGCAGTGTAGTGCACTCGGGATCAGAGCAGTTGCAACAGCATGTGAATATAGCATCGTAATTAAAATATATGGTCACCACCACCATCATCAGCAGCAGAGACCATAGACTATAGACCCCATGTCGATACTCCTTTACTGCCGCGATCATGCTGCTGCTGGCTCTTCGTTCTGCTACCGTCTGCTACCACTACGTCGATGACCCGCCACCGCAAACACAGACTTTTGCGAACAAAGACACAGACCAAGTACAAGCTCTGACATGGAACACCAGAACCAAGTTTACGCTGTCACGACTCGGTCTTGCCAGATCGGATTGAAACTGGAAGGAAAATAGTGGCATGTCGACCATCACTAAAACGAGCAAGTAGATCATGAGACAAAGCGCGCCCCAGCCGTTGGACACCAAACTTTGTTGATGCGCCTACACCTAGCAAACAGCAGCAATGAAATCAAGTATATAGGCTCATATAGGGGTTTAGGAAACTGTCTAAACATGTGTCTGGCCTGCTGTGTTCACATGAGAGCCAGGTGGATACATGGAAAAAATTAAGCCAAAATGTTCCTGTCGATTGTTCTTGTGCGCCCCGACTTCATTCAGATCCTGGGAATCGTAATTTAAGTCCCGGACACATGAAAACCGCATGGCCGCAACTACAGATCGTGGCAATGCTGTTTATGCCGTTTTAACACTTGCAGTATGGCCGCGCGCAGGGCGGTCAAACGAAAACCCGAA